TACAGTAGGGTGTAAAGAGAACGGTGTTTTGCTAGTGTGAGCTGTAAACTGATATTTGCACAATTTGTTTGTGTTTACTTTGCCTTATTTTATCCTCTCAATCAGGAGCTAAGGGAATTGTGTAGCAATTGGGCTCTAAGTGAGATGAATCTAGCAGCTGGAAAACACTGTTCAGAGCAAAATGGATAGTGTATGTTCACAAATGCTTAAGTAATGCATGTTTTAATACTGATTTTTTTAAATATGAAATATGCACTATGCTAGGAAAAGTCAACATATTGGTGTTAATGGGGAATCTTTCCAAGACCTTGCTTTCAAGTGGATAAAAGAGTACAAATTTGGGATAGCCAAAGGTGAATACAAACAAATTGGCTAGTCCGTTAGCATAGCTGTCCAGCTGCATCCTAGGCTCTGAGGCCACTCCAAAACCACAAGCCCAACCGCCTCAGGAGCCTGCCAAGGAGCCAGCTGCTGCTAATAAAGCAGACTCTACAACTTGGCATCTGGGACCTGTGATTCCCATCCAAAAGGAATTGTATGTGAAAAATATTTGAAATTTGTCTCTTTAAGTAGTGTTTTGCTTTGGAAGAAAAATGTTTTAGACTAAACTTGCAACAAGTGAAAAACTATGTAAGAGTACTGTGGTTGCCATGGGAAGATAAATACTGTTCTTCTGTAAGGAGGTTGGATGGTGGAAGGAGGAGTGGTGTTCATTTAGTGAGCAAGAGGCTTCTGGTTCAGCGTTTCTGGGTTATTGAGTAAGAAAGACCAAGGTATGTCATTATTTATGCTTAGCTGTGTGCACTTGCATGGGACACTTTGTTTCAGAGCGCTCAAGGGTAGGGTTTAAGCACAAGGGTGTGTTCCTGAGACTGGATAAGAATTAAGCACATTAATTTCTTACTTTTAAATAATGAAAAAGGAGAAATTTCATTCATTTTTCAGAGATGAAAACAAATCCTATTAGCCAGCCATGCTAAATTAATAAGCTGCTTGGAATGATCTACAAACCAGTTCATTCCCCCCTGACACTCCCCATTGAATAATGAAGCATGAGAATTGAAAAATGAGTTGGTTGCATTGGTTATTTGAAAAATTAACAGCAAAGCCAGCTCTGAATTCCAGCTCCCTTTTGAAGTAAAACACGTAGATTTTGCCTAATACTTTTTTCTAGCACTGCAGGTCCTGTGCTCAGCCGTGTTGGCAAAATATCTTTCCCAGATTTCTACAGCTGGTGTCAGGGTGTTATGAGCCATTCTGGGAAGTGGTGCTCCTCATGGCTTTTGTGGCAGAGAAGTTAAGTGCTTTGCCCCCAGCCATGGAGGGAGCTGACACCAGAACAAGGCCCAAATTTCCTGCCATCGGGTGTGCACGCGGCTCCCCAGGCAACGTTCCCCTTCAGCATCATCCAGGATCCTGTAGCAAGTGGTCGGTATCTGGGATCATCATCAGGTTGCCATTCATTTATTTCGCTCCAGTTATTACATGGAGATTAACGAACCAGACCCTTTGCTCATTTGGAGGCAAAATGCATACTTCTGCCATCAGTCATACACTCATCGGCTCAGGAAACAAGAATTCAAAGCTTTATTCTGACCTGAAGCTTTTAGTCTGGCAGCCAGCCAGAAGATGTCATCAGCCCTAGTACAGGCAATTTTGTAATCTTTCTGCGGACGGTATTCTGGGGTATTGGATATGCATGGAAATTACTGTGGTCTGCAGCGGCTGAGATTTATTAGTGATGACGGTTTGAAGTATATCAGTGTTTGCTGGTCTGAGGAGGAGATCAACATCCTCCAAAGTGGAGCGCGGCTGCCTCTATGCTCACCCTTAAAGCATCTCTGATGCTTCTGTGAACCTGGGCACCTATATGTGCCTGCTGTCTGAGCAACTCCTGCTTGAGAGACCACCCATCACATGGCCTAATTCTGTGGGTATACTGAGGACACCTTTTTTTTTTTTTTTTTTTTTTTTTTTTTTTCCTAAATAGTTGCCTTTTTAAAATCAGTGTAAATGTAATTCATGTTCACTGCTAGGTCCCCTTTCAGCTGGCCAAGAGGGATAAAATGTCTTAAGCTTAAATTAGAATTAGGCCCCCAGTGCTTTCCTCTGTGTGAGGATAAAGATCTTATAATAGAATAAAAATTGCTCTTTGTATTTCAAAGGTATACTTCCACTTGTTTTTTTTCTTTCTTATTAGGTTGGTGTGAGAATAGGCCATTTATTCATTATCCTCTTCTAAGACATATATAATAATAATTAATATTTAAAGTACATAGCACTTTATTGGCTTACAGAAAATTCTGTCCTAGCCTTATGTCATTTACATGCATTCAGTGTGTATGGTAAACTTGGAGGTGTGGGGTAAAGGAATAAGAATGTTACCTTGACCTTTTTTAATTTTTATTTTTTTTTTTTTTAATTTTACATTACCAATGCTCCAATTGTGCAAGATTAACACAGGATCTTTTCTGAGCTCTTGGTATACTAAAGCCAAATGTGTGATACGCACAGTCACATCTACCTCTGCCATGGTGCTGGAGTGCCCAGAGATTTAAATATGCTTTCAGCCAGGATGTTTGAAGATGCATGTGTCTATACATTTGTTGGAGGTTACAGTTGTCTGCAGTTTTACCCAGCCGTGCCATGGCTGTGGGGTGGAGCAGATTTCCAGGATGTGCCCATGGCACCAGGGCTCAGTCAAGGCGGTTCCCCACGTGGGTACTTAGGGCTGCTGCTTCAGCTCTCTATTTCTGGGAATGACATTGAAGCTTGGGTGGGTGGGTATTACCCGGTGATAAAATGTGTGTACAGAGAAATATGATCCGAATGCATTAAGTGTTTTTGATTGTCAGCAAAAATATCTACGCAGATACTCAGGGAAGGAAGCTCAGTGCCCTTTCTCTTACTGTAGATGAGAGCAAATGTCATTTCTTGCTAGCATGGCGATTGCACTGTCTATTAAACTGATTTTTCCTTTTAATGGGTCCTACTTGAGTCACATTACAACCAGGCTAGATTGCAGAGGAATTGTGCTGTCCTGACACATGATGGTGTATTACCACTTCCCTGCTTTCACAGAATCACAGAATGGCAAGGGTTGGAAGAGACCTTAGGAGACCATCTAGTCCAACCCCCCTGCTAAAGCAGGTTCTCCTAGAGCATGTTACACAGGACTTTGTCCAGGCAGGCTTTGAATATCTCCAGAGAAGGAGACTCCACAACCCCCCTGGGTAGCCTGTTCCAGTGCTTACTCACCCTCAAAGTAAAGTACTTTTTCCTCATATTCAACTGAAACCTCTTATGTTTCAGTTTGTACCCATTGCCCCTTGTCCTGTCTCTGGGCACTACTGCAAAGAGTCTGTCTCCATCCTCGTGACTTCCACCCTTAAGATATTTGTAAGATATTTGTTTGTGTTGATGGTGTTAAATGGGAGAAACTGGGAAGAAGGAAGGAGAAGGCATTGCCAGAAGCATGGTGCTTTATGTAGCTCATCAAAGCCTCTGAGCTTCACCTATCGCTGATGCTCCCCTTATGTTCTCCAACTTTTTCTGGTTCTTCTAAGGGACTTGTTTGAAAGAGTTTAGAGCTACTAATTTAAAAATGCCCATCTATGAAGGCTGTGATTTGGTATGTGCATAATTATAAGCACTAAAGTAGGGCCACTGAAATGAAAGGGGCAGTTGATTAGTGTGATCAGAATACTCACAGGCTTAAATATTTTCTCTGTTCAAGGCCTAAATGCAGAATGAGTGTATTAAAAGTTACTAAAGTGTCATTGCTACTCTGGTGAAAATTGCATATGTTTTGCTTTTGTTAGTCCATCAGCACATCATGGGTAACTTAGCATTGGCCCAACATTTATCTGCAGTTGTAGCCACACATACTGCTAGCAGAATAAGCTGATCGGCTTGCAGAAACTGGATTTTCCCCCTCTCAGCAGGCAGTAACATTCCTGGAGCTCTGACTCCGGTTCCCTTGGCTGCCCAGCTGGAGCCTTGGCCGCAGCATCCCCCAGCTCCTCCAGCTTCTCCCCTACATCTCGGCTTTTCTGCACGGGTCACAGCGGTGACAGGACATGGCCTCCTCCTTCCAACCACTCCTCCGGGCTCCTGACAAGCGCTCTGTGCTGCGAATAAATATGCTGGTGGTCAGAGAGCCAGGGGTGGTTGCAGCAGCTTAAATTCCCTGCTGTTGCCCCAGATCGGAGGCGTTTACCTAATTTTTATAGCACGCGTGTGTCTTCTTGCATAGCATGTATTTACCAGGGAGTTAGGGGAGAGTCTTGGGTTTTCCCTGTGAGAATGACTCCCTTTTTAAGTGATATTTCTCAGTTGTTGTGTGTGGTTTGTGGTTGTTCAGAAGCGGGTAAGGTTGTTTCAGAGCAGTAGGTCCTAGCCTGATCATCTTTTCCAAACCTTGTTTCTCTGTTATGAAAGGCATCCCAAATGACAGTGTCTTTTTGGGCTGCTTTGGATTTTTTTCCCCCTCTCACGCCTGCTAAGTCTCTGCCACCTGACTGTGTGTCTACTGGATACGCCTCGTGTTTAGAAAAGACTTGCTAGGCTTCTGGCATTGGCTCCCATACCTTTGGCTAGATACTCTTGGCTTTGCCTAAGAGTATTCTTAAAGCAGATTGTGTTTAACTTCTTTCTTTAATATCAGTTGCTCCTGAGTGTCTGTCATTTCAGAGCTTTATTCTGTGGTCTAGATAAAATAGGCTCATAATCTAGCTATTCTAATTCCAGATTAAAAAAGAAAGTAAAAGAATGCACTTCATAGCCATGGCTAAACCCAAAATCTCAGCCTTTTTTTTTTTTGCCTTTTGAAAGGTGTTGCTGGCTCGGGGTGGGCGCACGTGCTGCGGGAAGCGGGCAGGGAGGGCAGGACAAGCGTGTGCCCTCCCTCCGTAGCTCTGGAGTTACCTGGGTAAAGCATATGTGTCTGCCATGCTTTCTTTTTCCAGTAAACAGCCTTTTTGTTTTGTTTCCAGCAGTCCTATGCACCAGCTCCCCACCCCATGGCTCCTCCCAGCCCCAGCACAAACAGCAGCAACAACAGCAGCAACAACAGCAGCGGAGAGCAGTTGAGTAAAACCAACCTGTACATTCGAGGCCTTCCACCCGGCACCACTGACCAGGACCTTATCAAGCTGTGCCAGCCGTAAGTGCACTTAAAATACCCTGTGTCTTCGGGTAGGAAAATGTCAAAGCCAGCCATCCAGTTTGCACTTAATGTACGTCCACAAAAAGACATCAGAACCATCCTGCACTTGAAGCTTAACTGTTACTTCTTTAGTTTGAACGGCTAATTAATGTCTATTGAAAACTTTCTGGTAATGAGTTTTGGGGGAGAGAGTGGTGAGGGCCTTTGCATTGGCTTCTCTTTATTTTAATCTGGTTTCTTTATTATGTTAAAAGAGGAATTTGCAGGGCAAGAAAACCTGCCTAATGACAGATTTTATAGTTACAATGGTCTGTGAATCATAACCCAGTGCACAACAAAGCATGGGTGTTCCCACCTCAGCCATTTGTCACGTCTTTTGATTGCTGTGTCACACATTGCCGGGCTCAAAGACTGAGAAGTATGAAACCCACTGAAGGTGGCCTTGTAGCAAACATCTAATTAACTGCAGTTCCACGGAAAACTGATGATGTAGAAAATAGTGCCTTTTACCTCCTTGTTTATCTTGAGATTCATGTTTGCAGATTGTACTGATAAATATCAGTTTTACTGTGCTTTATTCCTGTTGAAACTGGAAGGGCAGCAGAAGAGAGCTCTGTGCTCCTCAGGAATCATCAACAGAACTGTTCTCCAAAATCTTGCACTCTCTTAGCCCTCCTCACTCAACTGAATGTAGTGAGTAGAAATGAGAACCTGATTGGATTTCCAAAGTCTTGATTATTTTTGATGACATGTGGGAGGGGAATAATCCAGTTTGAGACTCCAACCAGAGATCACCTGGGTGGAATTTAGGATAATACATTTTTTTGTGTTGAAATAAAAACATGGAGAGATTTGAGAAACGAAAATCCAACCCTGTGATTATACAGAACTGTGATGCTTTTGCCATAGAATAGTCTATGCCAAAAGACAACAGCACCTCTGATATTTTTCATCACAAATCAGCCTTTCAAATAGAGATCAATAAATGAGGATTGGTAAAGTAAGGAACAGTCTAGGGCTGATCTACTGACTTGAATCCAAATGGCTGTTGTTTTGAAGCTTGCAATAGGAGTAACAATTTAATGGGATGTTACAATTTTGTGTCATTCTGCATTTCCTGATTTTCACCAAAAATGCTGAAAGACTTGCCTAAGTATGCTTTACGTGGACGTGGCTGGCCAGGTCTGGAACTAGTGGTCTTATTGAAGCCTTATCTGAACTTTAGCAAAATTATGTGAGCTTGAAGCTCTTCCCTGTGACTTTGTCCTGCTAAAGCCACTAGAGGTAGAGCTGGCTCACTGTTCACTGGAGTATAGCATGCTGGTGATTTTTGATATTTCATGCAAGCTGAATTGCGCGTGTACCTGTCTGACATTTGTACAAACTACATTTATCGACACTTCCCGCTTGTGACAGTCACAGATAAATCCCAGTTCAAGGGCCAGATCCTCTATCGGTATAAATTGACTGGAGTCTGCTGACATTCAAAAAGCTATTTTGCTACACATCTTCCTGCAGTCTGACCCTTTCCAAGTTCAGAAAAATGCTTTCAGCTGAGCAGCTGATCAGGAATGAACTAACTATTCCTAGAGGAGCCTCACAGCTTTGGCGCTTAGTGCGGCAGTCGTGGGGGGAGGCACAAGCTGGCGGTGGTATGAGCGGTGTTGCTTGAATCATGAAGTTCCGAGAGCATGTCCCTACCCCTTGTCTGCATATGGGAAGTGCCCATCGAGTATCTGAGAGCTTCCTTTCGGCACTGTGGCAAAATTTTTAATGCGCTCCACTAAACTTAATTTGGTCTATGATTAGAGGGGTTTGTCTTGCTATCATGGAGTTCCTGTGTGAACAGATGCTCTTTAAGAAAAATGCTGACTTTCATTTTGCTGATTTTTCTATCCTTTGGCTAAATGGAAGTGAGGAGAAACCAGAGTTGTTCGTTTGTTGTTGTTTTTTTTCATAATATTAGAAGTATTTATCAAAGCAAAAGGGAAAGATGATATAGGGAAACTTAAACATCTGAAAATACAAGAATTTGTCATGGCAGCATGTAGGTTTTAAAGTAATATATTGCAAGACACTTTCTTTACCTTTGCAGATGGTTACATAGTAGAGGTGGATAAAGTTCCAAATGTCTTCTCTCTTTTTTCCTTTTTTTTTTTTTCTCCTTACCTCTCCACCCCACCCCACAGTCTGTATAGCAGCAATCTGCTGCTGTGTGAGCAAGACATAAGTTTGTCTCTTCAGAAATGATTGTCTTCTGTAGAGTTTTTTCTCAGCTTACCTGGTTGGGGTCTCATCGCACACTAAAGACTTCATGTGAACAGGTATTCACACAACAGCAAAGGTGCTGGCTCTTAGGCTTCCTGCATTAGAAGTATTAGTGTAATTTGCTACAAGATGTGGGGTGAAAACCTGAACTCCAATCCATAAACCGTATTATTACTATTTTGCAGTACAAGATTTTTGGAGAGCTGCATTAAAGGGAGGTCTTCACCGAAGCTAGTTTATGCCCAGGACACACTGGTTCCCCAAGCCTAGCTGCCAATGTCTAAAATGAGCCCTTCTGAACCGATTTCCTCCACTCTCACATGTGACAAGGCTGCCAGCAGTGCAACTCTCACTTGCGATGTCTGACATTGGGCAGGTCTGAGGAATAATGTTCTAAGCCCACAGTATTTCCCTCTTGGAACTACAGGGAATGCTGGAAATGCTTAGGGCTTTGTACATTTGTCATGGCCCATCCCATTTCCAGGTTTATTCCAGCAAGGAGGCCACCCTCTAGGTGACGTGTAGCATTTTCTATTTAATTTTATTTTACCAGGTGGGTTGTGGAAGAGAAATCTTTTAATCAGAGTTGTCTGATAAAGTGCGGGGGCTATTTTGGTGAATCCTGCCTGCTTTTCTGTATTTCTGCTGTGTGTTTTTAGGTGGTGTGTATTGCACACTAAACAGAAAACAACAGACTGGAGTACCATTGATGCTTGAAGTGCAGAGTCCATTACACGTGATGTCAGACATTTCTGACAAATGTTCCGACACTATCAAACCTTTTATCAATTTAAGAGTAACCTTGTCACTGTAATCTGTCAAACTGTTCATATAACTAAAGGAAAACAAGTCATCATAGGCTGTACAGTAGCTGAGTAAATAAAAAAAAAAAAGACTGGAGTACCATTGATGCTTGAAGTGCAGATTGTATGGTTCTAATCCTCAATATCTGGTTTAATGGGTGTCCAGCAAAGTTGCATCAAATTCTCTTTTGCAGCAGGGAGCTGTTAGGTTGCACTGTAGCTTTTGGGACTTTACAATGACTCTTGTTAAAGGTTACATTGAAAAAGAGTGACTAGGAATGTTCAACAAGCAAGAATATGTTGTTCTTTTATGTATATATCTTCTGGATTTTCATAAACACTGAGTAAACGAACCTTTCTTGAGGTTTCCAAAAAAGAGGCTTTATATCCATTTGTGATCATATTGATCATCAGAACTTACTAGTTTTAAAATTTTGATTTTTAAATATTTCATGAAAATAATAATAAATACCACATCATTAGCATTGATTTCTCTGAGGTACACTGTCTCTGCTGGTGCAGTGGTACACACTGTTGCACATGTATCTTGCCAGTCAAAATATACTTTTCATCAAAAGGAAAGATAATCAACCTTAAGATGTAAAATTATAGATTATAGACAGTAAAATGTGCATGATGTGTCACTGTACAAGCAAAATATAAATTACTATCTTTGAAATATTCATAATCTGTCACTCTAATTTTCATGCATGGTGATACATTTCATCCAGAAGAACTCCAAAATTCTCTTAAAAACATACACAGATGGCTTAGTCCCCTGTTGGTATACTGGACACATCCCATTCTTACTAACTACATCCCTGTGGAGATAGATTGAAGGAAATCTCACACACATATTAAACATTTGAGCTTTATTACTTTGAAACATTTTTCATTTCAAAAACTCGCAGTCTGTCTCTCAGGATTTTGGCCTTTCTGTCTGTCTTTTCTTATGTGTTTGCACTAAAGAACACTTAGACCTAAAACTTTTTAAAAAGAGAAAATAAATCTCTTCCCCACGCCCCTCCCCAATTTGAGAAGTTGGCTTAAAAAGAACAATGTTTGACTTCAAACAAGCCTTGTGCATTGCACTATTAAGACATTGGCATGTATTCAAAAGTTAATCCCTGTCTACCTTGATTCAGTCATGAATTTTTCATGCCTGGTCTATAGTCTGAAAGAAAGCTACTTCAAACTTCTAGTGTATGATAGTTTAAACTTATATATGTTTTTGTCCTGATTTAGTCCTTCCCCCTTGTGTCTATAAAGTACCTTCAGAAATCTTCTATTTCCATCTGCTTTGTTGTTCTTGTTTGGATTAGCTATCTCATCACCCTTCAACAAGTTTTGACTTCTTTGTGGTCCAGGGTAAAATTAAAGGACTAAATGAAAACAACAATAGTAAAAATATCTATACCTGAGAGGAGCAAGTCTGTATGCTGCTCGGGCACATATAGTTTCTAGATCAATGTTGTGTGCAGGTTACTCGAGATTTTGGGTTAGGGTATTTTTTTTTCTGTTTTTCTTTTCTGGAGGTGTGATGACTGTCTCCTTGACAAGTCATCAAGTGGGAGATTTTAGCCTCTCGTTCCATTCTGAACGTCCTTGGGTTTGTCCCTGTAGAACGTCTGAATAAATATTCAGGCTGCCACTGTTTGGATTCTACTAAAGGGCTAGCCCCAAGGATAATGTAACTGAGGTTATTAATTGAAAATACACACATTACTTGAATCCTGGACTATTTTTGAAATGAACTGTGTTCATTCCTTTTGCCCCCACAGAAAACCGCTGAGTTCATCGAGGTTTCAGAGGGGTTCAAGGTGCCTTTCAGGACAGGGACTCTTGTTAATAGCTGCAACAAGTACAACATTTTCAATTAGCTTTATAGCAAGTTCATGATGGCCATTTCTGCCATGTGTTAAGACA